CGGTAGTTTTTGCCCTTAAGATTTGGAGGCATTACCTGTATGGAGTTCGATGGGAGATCTATACTGATCACATAAGCCTTTAGTACATTATGAGCCAGTGGGATCTTAATTCGAGACAGCGCCGTTGGATTGAGCTCCTGAAGGACTATGACCTCTCTATTCTCTACCATCTAGGCAAGGCGAATGTACTAGCGGACGCCTTGAGTCGGAAGGCAGTGAGTATGGGTAGTCTAGCCTTTCTTTCTTCTACGTAGCGACCGTTAGCTTTGGACATCCAGTCCTTAGCTAACTGGATGATACAGCTTGATATCTCTGATTCCCGGTATCTACTAGCTTATGTGGATGCTTAGTCATCTCTGCTGGATCGGATTCGCAGCCGTCAGTTTGAGGATGAGGACTTAGTGGCACTTCGAGATCGAGTTTTGGGAGGTGACACCAGCCTGGCTACCTTAGATTTAGATGGGGTTTTAAGATTTGGTGATCGACTTTGTGTTCCAAGAGGTGGGGGTTTGATTCATATGATTCTTACCGAGGCCCATGAGTCCAAATATTCTATTCATCCTAGCACTGCTAAGATGTATCGGGACTTGAGACAGCACTACTGGTGGAGCGGAATGAGGAGAGATATTGCGGAATATGTATCGCGTTGTTTGAGTTGTCAGCAGGTTAAGGCCGAGCATTTGAGGCCTGGTGGCGAGCTTCAGAGATTACCCATTCCTGAGTGCAAATGGGAGAGGATCACCATGGACTTCGTTGTAGGATTACCCCGCACTTCCCATGGTCTTGATAGTATTTCGGTCATCGTGGATCGATTGACCAAGTCAGCACACTTCATTTCTGTCCATACTTCCTACAGTGCTTAGAGGTTAGACCGTATCTACATTCGAGAGGTGCTTCATCTTCATGGTGTGCCTATTTCCATCATCTCAGACCGGGGACCACAGTTCACATCTAGCTTCTGGAGGACCTTCCAGGATGAGTTGGGTACCCGTGTTAACCTTAGTACAGCTTTCCACCCGCAGACTGATGGTCAGTCGGAGCGCACTATTCAGGTTCTTGAGGACATGTTGCGGGCTTGTGTTATGGATTTTGGGGGTCAGTGGGACCAGTATTTGCCTTTGACAGAGTTTGCGTACAACAACAGCTACCACTCGAGTATTCAGATGGCTCCATTCGAGGCCTTATATGGTAGGCGTTGTTGCTCTCCAGTTGGTTGGTTTGAGTCTACAGATCTCAGGCCGCACGGTACACACTTGATGCGAGTGGCTTTAGATCATGCGAGGGTTATTCAAGATAGGCTCAGGACAGCCCAGAGTAGAGATCAGAGTTATGCAGACCGTAGGCGTCGGTGGTTGAAATTTTCTGTTGGTGATAGAGTATTGCTCCGTGTGTCGCCCTTGAAGGGTGTAATGAGATTCGGGAGGCGGGACAATCTTATCCCCAGATATATAGGTCCTCTTGAGATATGAGGGCAGTTGGAGAGGTCACATATGAATTCGCTTTGCCCCCGGCCTTTTCAGCTATTCACCCAGTTTTCCATGTTTAGATGTTGCGCCGGTATGTTCCAGATGAGTCCCATGTGATTCAGTATGATGCAGTTGACTTGGATGACAGTTTGAGATACATTGAGGAGCCAGTTGCTATTTTGGCCAGAGATGTCAGACGGTTGCGTTCCAGAGCCATTCCTGTGATTAGGGTCCATTGGAGACATCGTCCAGTTAAGGAGGCTACCTGGGAGACCGAGCATGAGATGCGGGGGCAGTTCCACGGCTTATTTGAGCCTTCAGGTACTTCTTGACTCTTACTTTCGCGGTACGAAAGTTCTTTTAGTAGTGGATATTGTAATGACCTCCAGGTCATTTTTAAATTAATGCATTCATTCCATCGTTTAGAGCGATCATTTAGTGACCCAAGGTCATTTATGACTTGCTGGCACTGACTGTTCGATCGCCTGGTCGTTCGTTTGGGTTTTAGGCCCGTTTCCCTATTTTCGAGATTTTATAACTTGAAAAGTTGACTTTGGTTAACCTTCTTGGATGACGTGCTCAGATAAAAATTCTTACAGCTAGGTTAGCTTCGGAATATCAATTTTTGTCTAGAACGACCCTTTGTTCACTTCCCGAGATTTTAGATAGCAGTTGTGGAATCTGGCTCAAACGATACTGGGTGTGGGACCCACTTTTCATCGAAGATATCTCCAAATGGAAATTCCGCCTTCACCGTTGAGTCCGAAATGTCATTTTCAATCAGATTCCATATATGGGTTGTATTTTTCTGACTCCGAACGAGTCCGGAACATCGAAATTTAAGTTTGAAGAGTTGTTGAATTCTAACGCGGTGGTGACGTGGCAGAGCCACGCGACGCCAGGTTGCAGCATTGTTGAAAATTTCCAGATCTAAGGACAATTTTCGTCCATTTTAAGCTCAAATTAGGTGATTCAAAAGGCTAATTTCAAGAGAATTTCGTGCGGAATCTAGAGGTGAGCTCAGAAATGCGAGGGGAGTCTTCGTTTGAGTTAAGGAATCGAATTTAGCTACTGCTAGGGTGATTTTTCGGAATGAATTGTTGTTGAACTTTTGAAAGGTTAGATCTTGATCATCTTAGGTCCGTTTTGAGTCATTCTTGAGGCTAACTTGTAGAGTTTTTCGCTAAGGATCGTCGTGGTATAATATTTTTGGGTTGGAAGGGTGTCGTTTTTCAAGAAATTGGTGATCAAGGGGCTGCCAAGTCGTAAGTCAAGACTTATTAATGATTTTAATTGTTAAGGGTGATTTGCTATGTTTTAGGCATTTTTTTGTGCTAAATTTTGGGGTATTAGTTTAGTAAGGTATTTGGGACGTTTTCACGAATTCGTTTTCGGGATTCCAATTGTGGGTCCCACAATACCGTTTTACACCCAATTTCGATCCGTCTCCGAAAAATATAATTTTTGTGTCAACATATTCATAATGACGAGGTGATTAACCTTTTGATAGTGGGGAAGCATTCGGAGACCGTTCAGAGGGGAAAAGCTCTGGTTCCGTGAGTTGGAGCACGCGTGATCGACTTTCAGGTAGGCTATGGCTTCCCCCTCGTGAGATTGAGCATGTTTAGGCAATTGTTTATTGATTTTCTTGAGTATGGAGGGGTTCGGGTGTCGGGCATGCTAACTTTCTATAATTCCTGCCTTAACCCTTATTTCAGGATATTGTTGAATTATGACAGCATGACTCTTGATATTATTGAACATTCATACCTTGTGGTGTATATGATAATATTGATTTGAAGTCTGTTTGGCCTTAGTCTAGGCTTAGACTAGTGTTGCTATAGACTTGCGAGGTTTCGGGTGCCGTCAGGCAGCGAACGTCCATAAAACTGCATTTAGGACTCGTTACGGCCGCTATGAGTTCCTAGTGATGTCTTTTGGGTTGACTAACCCCTTGCCGCGTTCATGGACTTGATGACTAGGGTGTTTAGGCCGTACTTGGATTCGTTTGTCATAGTCTTCATAGATGACATTGTAGTATACTCGCGGAGCTGGGAGGAGCATGAGCAGCATTTGAGGATAGTGATCCAGACTTTGAGAGGCCAGCGACTTTATGCCATGTTCTCAAAGTGCGAGTTTTGGCTTGAGTCCGTAGCATTCTTGGGGCACGTGGTGTCTAAGGATGGCATTATGGTAGATCCCGCTAAGATTGAGGCCTTTCGTGATTGGGCGAGGCCCACTTCTGTGACTGAAATTCGTAGCTTCGTCGGATTGGCAGGCTACTACAGGCGTTTTTGTTGGAGGGATTTTTCTACTATAGCAGAGCCTTTGACTCGGTTGACTCGCCAGGATGTTCCGTTTGTGTGGTCGGAGGAATGTGAGAGGAGCTTTCTGAGGCATAAGGAATTGCTTACCACCGCTCATATATTGACTCTTCAATTTGAGGGCAAGGGGTTTACTGTTTATTGTGACGCATTCGGCATTGGTTTGGGTTGTGTACTGATGCAGCAGGGCCGCGTTATTGCCTATGCGTCGAAGAAGATTAAGCCGCACAAGCGCAACTACCCCACTCATGACTTAGTGTTGGCGGCGGTAGTTTTTGTGCTTAAGATTTGGTGG